GGTAGCGCGCTCGCCTGGCATGCGTGCGGCCCGGGTTCGATCCTCAGCACCACATACCAACAAAAGATGTTGTACCTGCTGATAACTAAATAATAAATATTAAAAAAAAATACATGGAAAAAATTACCAACACAGAGGCACACATGACATCCTAATAGTAGGCAAAGAACTAATCTTGAACCTGCCTCCTGTTTCAGGTGCTTCAGATACATTGGAATATTAAACTACTTTATTTGTTATTCAACCATTTTCTTTTTAATTGGGGAGCAACGGAGACTCAAGAGCTGTTGCTTAACCTGCCCAAAGTCCCACAGTGAGCAAGACGCAGATGAGAGAAAATCCATGTATCAAAGTCCTATTCAGTTTTGATGTCAGAAATTCAGGAATCCACTATATTCCGGTCTCTAAGTAAACTAAACCCAATGTAACTTACAATACTTGCTAAACTTACATAACCCCCTTGTTTTTTACTATAATGGACATCCTTTCCTCATCCCCATCATCACGAATCCCTCAGGTTCAGGGACTGGCCATTTTGTGAACAAGTGATCAGGTGAACAGAGCAAAGACAAAAAACTAAAATTTGGCAGTATGTCTAACACCAAAGTCCTCAAGGGAAAAAAGAAAAAAAAGCCTTTCGGAATGTCACGCCCTCACTTCCGGCCTTGACTGGGCGGCGGCAAAGTCCAGCACGTGGGCCGCGCTCACTCCGGGCAGCACGCTGGTCGGCCACGACCCAGACGGCGCTAGGACCCCAGCGGCTGGCCGCGGTCGGCCCGCGGTTTCCTTGGCGACCGGGCGGAAGCCGGAAGCTGCGCTGCGGTTGGCCCCAGCGGCCCGGAGGAGCTGGGGGCGGAGCCCGAGGAGGAAAGTGGCGGCGGCGAGGAAGAGGACTGGCCCGGGCCATGGAGCTGGCGGACGCGGGGGCGGCTGGCTCTTCGCAGGGTGCGCCGGGGCCTGAGCAGCCCGGTGGCCCCGCCGGGTGTAAATGAGAAGGTTGGGGCGGGGCGGGCGGAGGCTGCTCCGGGCGGTGGCCGTTGGGACGCGACGGTCCCTGCCCCGCTTGGTCCCGTTCGTCTTCCCCACCTGGAATACTGCCCTTCTTTGCCTCGTGTTTCGAGGTCAGAACCTCGAGAGGGATGGCTTCCCCCAGTAGGAGTAGGGGAGGGCGCCTGGGGCCTACACGTGCGCGTCCAGGGTGCATCTCTACCTTCTGTCCACCCCTGGAGGGGAGGGGCGGGCTGGAGTCGCACGGCCACCTGGAGAAAACTGCAGGTGTTCCCTGGAGGTGTCACGTTGGAGCAGCTGCCCACAGTTCGCCTGCTTAGCAGAGGTCGAGTTCTGGGCTCAGCCCAGGTAGGAAGGAATGGCTCGGAACCTGGCCAGTCAGCTGTGGTCTGCTCCCTGGGAACCCACTTCCAGGCTCTCGCCCCTATCCTGGAGCGCCGGACTAAAGGGTCTGAAGGCAAAGGCCCTGGTTCTCATCCCCTGTTTTTTTCTTTTTTTTTTTTGTCTGAGGTCAGGAGAGTAGATTTACAGAAAAGTGTGAGATTTTCCCAAATGTTAATATCTCACATGACCATGATGCATTTATTAAAATTGATAACTCCTCACTGAATGTCACACTATATTCATATTTTGCCAGTTTCCCCACTGATACTCTTTTTCTGTTCCAGCCCACAGTGTAATACCACATTTCAATGATTGATTGAAGTCTGGAGATATAACCCAGGAACATTCTCCCACTGGGCTGTACCCCTCCCAACCTGTCTTATTTTGAATTTGGCAATCCTCCTGCCACAACCTCCTCAGTTGCTGGGATTATTGATATGCACCACAGTTCCTAGTTCAGCCCCTAGTTTTTAAAATCTATAAAATAATCATTGTTTCAACTTTGTGAATATTTATTGGTAATCTGTTTACCCAAGGTGTAGTTGTAGACAGTGGGGTTTTAGCATTCAAACAGGCAATCTAGCTCTCCTGTGAAAGCTAAATAGAGTTCACTGGAACCCACAGATTGTTGTTATTATTTTTTAAAAAAATATTTTTAGTTGTAGGATGGACACAATAACTTTATTTAGTTATTTTTTAATGTGGTGCTGAAGATCAAAGGCATGCCTCACTCACGCTCTACCAATGAGCCACAACTCCAGCTCCTAGATTGTTATTTTGTATTTCAAATTTTCTTTCTTTTTTGAAATTTAGGGACAGGTCACTTGGAATCATCTTTAAGTTGGTGGACAATTAACATTGTTTCAGCTTTTCTGCCTTTTCTGGTTTAGTTACTCCATACTTCTAAGTGATAGCATTACCTTTTGCATCATTCATTGATCAGATTTTTCCCTCTCAAATTACTATACTGAGAAAAATGTAGTGCACAAAGATATGCCAATTCAGTAAACAGGACTGAAGACCATGCTGTAGAGTTTCATGTGATTTGTAGCTGCTTTGACAAATAATAAATCCAAGAAAATAACTTAAAACTACTCTGTGGATTTTTCCCAGATAAAATGTTTTTAGAAAGTGTCAGTTGCTCAAAAATGATTTACAGCCTGAATATATGTATTTCTTTTTTGCATATTATGCAGCAGTTCATGATCAAGTGGTGCCAACACAAAATTCTTCATCCAGAGTCATAATACATGTGGATCTGGATTGCTTTTATGCACAAGTAGAAATGATCTCAAACCCAGAATTAAAGGACAAACCTTTAGGTAATTATTCATATTGATAGTATTTTTGTTGTATAATGATAAAATGGGCTACTCTTTATGTCACTGTATTCTGATTTATTAATTATATTAAGAAAGATTTTTTTGGAAGTCTTTTTTGCCCTCCATACTAGGTATTGAACTCAAGGGTGCTTCATCACTGAAGTATATCTCAGTTCTTTTTTTTTTTTTTTTAATTTTTAAATTTGAGACAGGGTCTCCCTAAGTTGCTAAGTTGCTAAAACTGGCTTGGAACTTGGAATCCTCCTGCCTCAGCTTCTGGAGTTGCTGGGATTACAGGTGTGTGCCACCATGCCTACCTGGAAGCCATTCTTAACAGTTACTTTTGCTTCTCTACCAAGTGTAAACCTCATAAACCTTATATAAGAAATGGTGAATCTGAGACCAGTATAACTGAACAGATTAACAGAAAACAGCATAAAGTTTTGGTCTTCTATGTTAATATTCTATGTTATAATTTAGTTCTCTAGGCAGATTTCTTATTTTTCTTTTTTGCAGTACTGGGAATCAAACTCTGTGGCGCTTTACTGCTGAGCTATGTCCCTAGCCTTTTTTTTTTTAAAGAGAGAGAGAGAGAGGAGAGAGAGAGAGAGAGAGAGAGAGAGAGAGAGAATTTTTTTAATATTTATTTTTTAGTTCTCGGCGGACACAACATCTTTGTATGTGGTGCTGAGGATCGAACCCGGGCCGCACGCACACCAGGCGAGCGCGCTGCCGCTTGAGCCACATCCCCAGCCCCAATGTCCCTAGCCTTTTTAATTTTTTATTTTGAGACAGAGTCTGGCTAAGTTGTCCAGGCTGTCCTTAACCTTGTGATCCTCTTATGTCAGCTTCCCAAGTAAATGGAATTACAGGTGTGCACCACCATGTCTGTCAGATTGCTTTTACTCAGTATTTCAAACTTTATAGGTCTTGGAGCTCAAAAACAATCTTGTTATTTTTGTTACATTTTAATGGAAGTTTTCATCTTTCTCTTTTGAAAATTAAATGTATGAGTTGAATATTAATGTCTAACAAACAGTTGAATTTTAAGCAGAACCTTAAATATTTAGATAGAGGAAGCATTTCATAATAACAAGCATCTTTTAAAATAAAAGGCAAGGAGAAGTTTTGCATTGAGGATTAACTTACTGATATTCTGGCATGTTTTATTAACATTTTTATTGTACCTTAAATTGGGAGAGCAGAGATTTTTTCCTTCATGTGTGCAGGAAGGATATTTTAATATAAACTTAGAAAATTATTTTGGTTCTCTTGGCTGCTGTCTTCTTGTGCCTAGATTGGCTTAATAAATACAAATCTAGTTTTATTGATTGTACTAAAGAACAAAGGAATAGCTAGTTTTTGGTATGCCAAAGTGAAGCTGGCATTTTTGTGTGTTTTAGTGTGTGTGACACTGGAGATTGAACCCACTGACCCCGGGAGAGACATCACTGTTTAGCTGCATTGCCTGGAGTGAAATTTGGATACTCCTTCCTTGGACTCCTGAGTAGCTGGGATTATAGGCCTGCCACTGTGCTAGGCAGAGAGGCTAGGATCTTTAAACTTTCCTAGAATGTCTTTAAGTTTTTAGGGTCAGAGGACCTAAATGATTTCTTCTAAAGGCATGTCTAATTAGTAGTATTATAACAAAATGCTGTGTAGATTATGCTTAATAAAAAGTATTGTGTGATTAAGATGTACAAATTATGGACATGAAGTAAAAGTTGTGACTGCTGAAAGTTTCCTGGAGAAAACAAAAGTAATGTTTTTTTTAAATATTTACTTTTTAGTTATAGTTGGATATAATATCTTTAATTAAATTTTTATGTGGGGCTGAGGATTAAACCCAGGACCTGGTCCGAGCTAGGTGAGCACTCTACTGCTGAACCACAACCCCAGCCCCAGTAATTTTTTTTATTCTAAACAAATATTGTTGTGACATACCATGTGGAGTTCATATAGTGGATTCTGCATTAAAAGACCAGATATGGTCATGTGTGCCTATAATCCCAGTGACTTGGGAGGCTGAGGCAGGAGGATTCCAAGTTCAAAGCCAGCCTCAGCAATTTATCGAGGCCATAAGATACTTAGCAAGATGCTGTTTTTTTGTTTTTTTTTTAAAAGAGACTTTTTAGTTAAGGAATTTACCAGTCTGATTTTTTCATATTAGTTCACTGATGAATGTTTTATTTGACATGATGATTATATTTTGGTGTATAATCTGATAAATAAGAAAACTTTATGTGCAAATAATGTTTTTTTGTCTTCTTTATAATACCCCAAATTTAAAAACAGATGTGTAATGGAAACGGATATAACTATTGTTTTTCTTCTACATTTTGTGTTTTACATTTTTGTGTGTGTACTGGAGATGCATTTTACATATTTTTGATAAACATTACTTTTATACTGGTATGAAGTAGTTAACTTGTTTAAAAAGAGAAAAACAATTTTAGCAATCTTAAGTCACCAATAAACTAGAATTTTTATTCGGTCTGTAGGTGATCATATTGTATTCATTTTGAGGGGGAGCTCATGATGCCCTACCGAATCATCAGCAGATAACTATAAAGAAAAGTTCAGTACTAGGATAATTACTGGGGAGATACCCCTAACAGTTGCTGTAGTTTGCCAATTGTAACAAAACATTCTTTTGTTCATTGGCAGACAAATGAGTTTTTCTAGTAGCAACCAGTATTTAATTGTACTCAATTATTTTCAGCTGGCTTATTTTTTGGTGCAACATACCTGGAGCTATAGATATGGCAGTATAAACCAAGCAGATTTTGTACTGTCTGAAAACATTTTAAGAAGGATTTGATTTCTGTCTTATCACTGAGAATTTTTAGACTATATTTATTGATTTATGGTAATTTTTGCTAAATTTGAGGAATATACACATCTAGCTTTTGTATAAATAATCGATCCACATTCTAACAGGTAATTTATACTACTTTTATGTGTTGATTTTCTGTTTAAAAATAACTTTTTCCCCAAACAGACAAATAACCAAAGCTTGAAAGTATGATATAGGAAAATACTTTTCTTAAGTAGGAGATAGCTCAAAAACCTGATTCTTTGTAGAATTTTAATGAACAGAATCTACTTTTTAAAACTGAGACACCTTTTTATCCTTAACAAAGCACATGCTATTCTTATAGCTCAGACAATTATAACATGGAATTAGTAAATTATGTTTTAAAATGTTTGTACAATCCTGCTTGATTTTTCTCACAGAATTTTTATTTTTTATAGGTGTTCAGCAGAAATATTTGGTGGTTACTTGCAACTATGAAGCCAGGAAACTTGGAGTTACAAAACTTATGAATGTCAGAGATGCAAAAGAAAAATGTCCTCAACTTGTATTGGTTAATGGAGAAGACTTGACCCGTTATAGGGAGATGTCTTATAAGGTTACAGGTACAAAGTGTAGGCAATTTATATTTAGTATTAATTTTTATGTAGGATGCCTATTCACTTAAATAATTTTATAAATCTTAATAAAGTGCCATAAACCAGATTCCTTTTTCCTAATAGCTTTTTATTATGGGTCTTTTCCACTTTAAAAATTATATAAAAGAGTGGCTTTCTATATTATGAATAATGTTGGTAAGT